GTGGATCATGTGAGAGAGTACAGACTTGTAACTAATGTGGATCATATGAGAGAACACAGAATCGTGATTTATATTGAGACAACAGATCTAGATTTGTTTCTGGTTCATTGAATTTTTAATATTGCAATACCAGATGTTATAGCATTGGCTAATTTCCACTGTTTGGAATGTAGGTCAGGTGCAAAGGTCTGGTTCCAGCTCACAGTTAAACAAGCAGTACTTCCTGGCAGCTGCCTGTAAATTATTAGCATTTTTGTGTACAGGTCAGCAACTCAAATGTAGATTTTTGTAAGTCAGTTTCGTAGGTGTTTATAACTTGATGGTTTATGAAACTCAATAGGGTCTGATTGACCTAAGCGGACATAACCTGCTGATCCTAAGTACTTTCAACCCATATCATCACTTTTACACCTATTAGTCATATCACTGATGCACAGAGATAACATGGGGAAATTTCAGTCTAAGTAAAATGACTGTGATCAGTCTTAGCATATTAAATTTACAAGTTACATATTATAACTAATTATAGCCTCCTGAATTTTTTACTTACAATTAATGTACATTTAGTGATTGATAATTATTCTTGAGAATAAGTTCACTCTATCGGATAGAAATCATAAGCATTGTTTGTTGGGCATCCTTTATAGTGTGTAATTGGTTGGTATATAATATGCTAATATAGATTATTTGGAAGAATCTGAAACAGATTATGTATTGATTAATAATCAATTTGGTTATAAATTTTCATATATAATCCATTTTATTCATCAGTATTTTCATAGTATTCTGACAATAACGGGAAAAGCAGTATTTTATTTTTATGCCATCAATTTATGATATTTAAAATAAAAAAAAAACCAATCTAAAATAATCAGTTTAAGATTTCAATCTATCATTGGAACAACTGTGTACATGTTATATTGTGAAATGTCAACCATTTTCGTTCGTTTGTTCTAGAGGTCTGAATTGAGGAGGTTGTTGATAGATTGTGTATTTTTCATGACATACTTTACTGGTGGATTTCTTTTGGCTCTGGTATGTAATGTTGGAATTGAATTCATACAGATTCATTTGGAGTTGTGTAAATTATACTTTTCTGGTGGATTTTGATGTGTCATCTGCCTTGTTTTATTGTATATATCATATATCATTAGTGACATAGGTTCAATGATGTAGGCCGTTACACACATATATATAGCACTAGTTTGTACTTACAGCGGATACATATATATAGTTTAATATGTGTTGGAAAATTGGCGACAGGAAAGGTAAAGTGATACACTCAGCACATACGCATACTCATGTCCTTTAATAGTCAGTGACACAGAGGTAACACAGAGTACACAAACACCCACACTGTACAAACTCTACTATCAAATTATTGTCATTTTCATGTTGTCATGCTTTTGGATATTAAATCACTATATATAACGTGGATTGTGAGAAGATGAAGTGTTTAAGATAAATCACGCACCATCTGTTGAGGAGAAAACTAGGTGATGTTACGCTTTAAATATTAGCACACTTGCGTACGATATTACTTGTATCAAATAATTTATAGATTTGATGGGTAATTTATGGTTATTGAATGGGGATGGGGGGAGAGTTGAATGATAACAAGTTAAACTTTTGTGACAAAATGTTCTCAATCAGTGAAGAGATGGTAATTGATATGAACATTTGATCAACCTAATGTTGTTAAAAGAATATTACAATACTGATAATTGTATTGCATATATAGGGTTGTTGTTCTTTACAGTAACTTGCACTATTGCTAACTATTGAAGATATCTATGTATGCTGCCTATCATATCAAATAGATGTAACCACCGTCTATGATACATCAAATCTCCTTGTAATTACCGTAATGTTGAACAATCACCTATATGGGCTTCCCCATATTGTTACAGAACTGGTATAGACTACCATCTGTTGTAAGAGTTCATTTATGTGTGATAGTTCAAATTGCTTCAGTTGTATAAGATTCATGATATATACAGAGTTATAAATCAATGCAGGTGTGAAAAATGAAAAAAAAAAATGAAAAAAACAGTATGTATGGCCTATAGCTACTTAATAATATGTTGATTTTACTACCTACAGGCAATACCAGTCTCCGATGCGACCTGGATGATTTAGCTGAAATCTGACCTAGGTGTTGCCATGGAATTACTGGAGTTGGCACGCCACCTGAAGCAAGAACAGCTGTTTGTAACGTCGGAGCGCTTTCAGCTGCAGAAGCTGTTTGACGAAGTGAAGCATGTTGCCGAGGGCCTGTACCACGAGTCATGGGTCACGCGGGAACAAAAGGCATGTCTCGACAGTCTTATCTTCTCACCTCAGAATATGGCACCCAAAGAGTGTTGTCGTAGGGCAAATCATCTACAGTGGACAAACTTTGTAGACAGTTACAAACATCTTAGTTATCATGATTCCAAGTATGGAGAATTTCTCGCCTTTTTGCGGGAGAATCCAAGTCTTCTGGCCCACTGTGTAGAGACAGGAGAGAAATCCAGCAATGAATACACTCTCAAAGTGGTGCCTCTGCTGGTGTCTTCCGTATGTGGGAATTGTCTCCTCCTGGAGGACGAACAGATAGCCCTCCGGATGATGACCACACTAGCAGAACTTCAGCTGGCGACTAATGATGACCCTCGACGACTACTTCGCAAAGGATCCTGTGCTTTCAGTGTTATGTATAAGCTGGTCTTAGACTCGTTGTTTTCAGCGAAACTGTTTCTTACGGCTGCTCTCCATGATCCAGTTATGCGTTTGTTGATGGAGGATGAATGGTTTTATGATATTGATCCTCAAAAAGCTCTTGTGCGGTTTCCTCCACAGGAACGTATGAAGAGATTTGGTGAACCAGGTACTGACGATTATACAAAGAAGTTTCAAGAATACAGAACGTTCATTGTGGACAAACTAGTAGTACTTGCAAATAGATTTATTAATTCACTCAAGAACAACATCCATTGTTTTCCAGCGGGAATGGGATGGCTAGTATCACAAATTTACCACATACTGACCAAGGCAGGTAAGCTATCGGGAGAAAAGGTACAGGCAATATGTGCTGACCTTGTTTTCTCCTTGTTCCTCTGTCCTGCTATTTGTGATCCTGACCCTCATGGTATCACGTCCGACATACACATCAGCCACATCGCAAGACACAACCTGATGCAGATTGCACAGATTATACAGGTTCTGGCCGTGTCACAGTGGGAGGAGGGCTCCAGAGTCACAGACCTGTACGAGAGGTTTGAAAAGGTAATGCTTGTTACATTGCACATGTACAATGTCCCGTATCAGTATGACAGGTCTATAAAGTGACACTAATTATTACCTGTAGTATGAAATGCGATGAAAGGACATGGTAACAACATAAAATGTATTACAGATTTTGTCTTTAAAACATTATT